ATGGACCATTGGTCACTTTTCTTTTAAGAACAAAACCCAATATCAATTGCTGCATTAAAACTGGAGTTAAATTATCAAATAACATCCTATGACATGTGAAGTCAATTACTTTTAATCTGACCTGTCAAAAAATATATACTGACTTGGCTTCCCCCGTGGTTCAGAACCCATTTTACCTGATATGGTTAACACAGGCTTCAGAAAGCCACTTGCTTTGTTGAAAATTTCCAACTCCACAAAACAGAAGTTGTGGCTGGCAGCAATATGCAAGTCCTGACATCATAAGTTTTGCATGTAGCCGGTTGCCATGATTACTGCATCAATCAAAATGGCAGCTAGCAGAAATGTGGTCACAATTTTGGAGTTCAGGTCCCTTTCACCTCTTCACTTTATTACTCGGACCTCAGCCAGAATGTTGTGTTCAGGTCTGGGCACCACACTTTGTGAAGAATGTGAATGCATTGGAGAGATTACAGAAAGGATTCACAATAATACTTTCAAGGATGGGGCACCCAGTTATGAGCAAAGATTGGAAACATTAGGGCGATTTTCCCAGGAGATGAAAGAGTCATGTGGTGAGTTGATAGAAAATTCCTAAGTTATGAGACATCTGAACAGAGTGGATAGGGACAAACTGTTCCCACTTGTAAAATTATCACAAACCAGAGAGCACAGGTTTACAATGTTTTGCAAAAGAAGCAAATATGAAGTATGAAGGAACTTTTATACACAATGAGTCTGTAATGCACTGCCTGGAAGTGTGGTGGAAGTAAGTTCAATCAAGGCTTCAAGAGAACACAGAAAATAGAACAGTACAGCACAGAACAGGCCCTTCAGCCCACGATGTTGTGCCGAACATTTACCCTAAACCTAAGGTCTATCTCACCTCCACCCCTACGTTATACTATCATCCATATGCCTATCTAATAACTGCTTAAATGCCCCTAATGAACACTACCCTCTCCGGCAATGCATTCCTCGCCCCTACCACTCTCTGAGTACAGAACCTACCTCTGACATCTCCCCTATATCTACCTCTGCTCACTTTAAAACTATGCCCCCTTGTAATAGCTACCTCCACCCTTGGAAAAGGTCTCTGGTTATCCACTCTACCTATACCTCTGATCACTAGAACACTAGATAATTTGGATCCTGGGTGACTTGGGAAGTTGCATCCAAAATTGACTTAGTGGTAGGAGATAGAGGGTGGTAGTAGAAGGATATTTGTGTGACTGGAGGCCAGTGTCCAGTGTTGTATCGAAGGGTTCAGTGTTGGTCCGTTATTGTTCATGATATATATGTAAACGATATAGAAGAAAATGTGGGAGGTTGATAAGTAAGTTTGAGGATGTTGACAGTGAGGAAGAAAGCCTCAGGTTCTTGGAAGTTATAGATGGGTTGGTCAGACGGGCAAATTAAGGACAGCTGGAATTTAACCCTGATAAGTGTGAGGTAGTATACTTAGGAAGAAGTAACAAATGAAGTAAGTACTCAATGAATGGCAGGATATTAGGAAGCTCAGAGGAACAGAGGGATCTTGATGTGCTTGTCCATAGATCCCTGAAGGCAACAGGACAGTTAACAGGGTGATTAAGAAAGTATATGGGATACTTGCCATTATTAGTTGTAGCATAGATTATGAGAGCAGTTATGTTGGAGCTGGCCTTTGGTTAGGCCATTGCTGAAGTACTGTGTCCAGGTCTGGCCAGAGGAGATGCAGAGGAGATTTACCAGGATACTATCTTGGATGTAGCAGTTTAGCTATGAAGAGAGGCTGGATAAGCTTGGGTTGTTTTCTTGAGAACAGAGAAGGCTGAGGTGGGGGGGCCTGTTTGAGCATGTGAGATTATGAAGGGGATAGACAGAGTGGATAAAAAGCAGCTCTTTCCCATAATTGAAAGGCCAGTAACAAGGGGGCATAATTTTAAGATGAAAAGTAAGAGGTTTAGAGGGGATTTGAGGAAAATCTTTTTCACCCAGAGGGTGGTGGATATTTGGAATGAACATTCTGGGAAGATGGTTGAGGTAGAAAACCTTGAAACCTTTAGATGGCTATTGGCCAAGTACTGGAAAGTGGGACTGGTATAGATTTAGAGATAACAAGGTGTAGAGCTGGATGAACATAGCAGGCCAAGCAACATCAGAGGAGCAGGAAAGCTGACCTTTCGGGTCTGGACCCTTCTTCAGAAACCTTTCATTTTCTGAAGAAGGGTCCAGGCCCGAAACGTCAACTTTCCTGCGCCTCTGATGCTGCTTGGCGCGCTGTGTTCATCCAGCTCTACACCTTGTTATCTTAGATTCTCCAGCATCGGCAGTTCCTACTATCTCTGGTGTAGATTTAGGGTAGTTTTGGTCAGTGCAGACTTAATGGAGCTGAAGAGCCTTTTCTGTATTGTTTGATTATTCTCATAGAAGCACTGTGCATGGTTACAGGGAAAGGTAGGAGATTGGCATTAAGTTAAAATACTCAGAAAACTGATGCAGACACAATGGGCTGAATGATTTCCTCCTACACCTCAGCAATTCTATGCTTCTGATTTTAGTTTTATCTGAGACCTATTTATGTTGCTGGGTGCTGTTAAAATTACAAATTTTCTGTATAATGAGAGACCATTTTAGTCCTAGTTACTAAGATTTTATCTTGTTAAAGTCGCTTTATTTGATTCCGTTATTTTAATTTATTTTGAATACTTTTCTTTTGAACAAAGTGCACAGATGCAAATAAATTGTTTAGAAAGTACGTTTGAAACCTGAAGTATGTGTAGCATAGGATGGGGAGTTACATCAGCAGAAACCTGGTCATTAACCCAGCAAACATTGTGTATTCTCCTTGCTCCCTGGGGTCAATGATTCCTCCCACAATTTCCTTTCATCTCCATACTGCCTATCACAATATTAAATTTGTAAACAGAAGTTTCCGATCCCTTACCCCACTATTCTGTAATTAACACATTTTTGACAGATGTGATCAATGGTCCTACGACAAAGACAAAAAGCTTTATTGCACTGAAGATTCGCTGTTGATGACCTCTTTATTTTCCTGATATTGCCTCAGTTGCCCAGGTGTGACATATATCTAGGTTTCATGGTCAACTGTTGGTTGTGGAAATTGTTATTTAAGAAGTCAAAAGAAAATAAATTACAGAACTTGGATGATGCACTGTTCATGAAGTGTTGAGACCTGGTTCCTAATACTGGAATACTTTGCTCAAAGTTTGTGCTTCCTTATGAGTGTCACACTATTTTCGTATTTTTGGGAGGCGAGCAAAAAAAGAGAGGCCAGACAAGCGAGCATGCCTGGCAATTTTCCACAGACTCTAACCTTTCGGTTTCTCAACTGCACGTGTCTGAGAAATGCGTGATCAACAGACTCCTGTTTAGTAGATACTACTTCAATACTTCATCCTATCAGACTGAGTAAATCTTATCATCCTGTTTCCAAGATAATAATCATTTCAATTTCACATATTAATAATGTAAAATATGAAAGACAAGGAAAATAGTATCTGCATCCAAAATCTCAATTGTGAAGACATTGCCATCATGCCTAATCTTTATCCTCACCTCATCATGACCTCACCAGACATTTCATACATGCATTTTCCAGAGATAGGTCAGTCTATAGCAATGAGAGGTAGATTCCTGCATAACTTTGCACTCGTTATCCTAGGTCTGTCAAAGCTAATTTTAAACCTCAAAAACTAGGCTGACAAGTGGCAAGTAATATTGTAACAAGTAACAATGACTTTCTCCAATAAGAGACAATCTGACCACTGCCCTTGATATTCAATGGTGTTACCATCACTGAATTCCTAATGTCAACATTCTAGGGGTTCCTATTGACCAAAGATTCAACTGGATTTGCCAAATATACAGTAGCAACAGAGCAGGTCAGAGTCTAGGAGTATTGCAGTGAGTAATTCACCACTTGATTCCCCAAAAGCCTGTTCCCCATCTGCAAGGCACAAGTCAGAGGTGTGATGGAATACTGCCCACTTGTCTGATAGAGTGTGTCTCTGACAACACTCAAGATCTACAAGATACACCACAGGTATTCACCCAAAATCCTTAAACATCATCTTCCAAACCCACAACCATTTCCATCTGGAAGGGTAAGGGCAGCAGAAACATGGATACACCACCATCTGCAAGTTCCCCTCCAATTCCCTCACAATCTGACTGTCACTGGGTCAAAATCTTGGAATTCCCTCCCTCATGAAATTGTGGGTCAACCCAAAGCAGGTGGACTGCAGTGGTTCAAGAAAGCAGCTCAGCACCACCTTTTCACAAGAGCATAGAAAAAAAATCCACCCCATCTAAGCTAAACTAGGGATTGTATCTGGATCTTTGTAATATGCTGTATGAAAATATAATTTACTTCCTGAACTACTGGGGAACCTTTATTCTTTGTTGTGCAGATAATTATGTTTTAAGTCAGATCATCCACACAATCATGGCAATAGAGCCTTGAAGGGTAGAGGGCAGTGAATTATTGGAACTAAGGGCTCTGTCCCTTGCACTGAACTTGTATCCATTTGCTTATGTTCATGACCAGCCGTAAAGGATTTGCTGATTCAGGGAGTAGAACACAGAAACTGCATATTTAAATTCTGGAGCCTGATCTGCAGCATAAGGTTGTTGATCTTTACACTGTGCATCTCTGTAAAAACTTATGATGTAGCATAATACTGTCTACCATTCAATGGCCATCATAACAGTAAAATGTGCTTCATAATGTCTTATGGGAAGCAAGCAACATGTAGATGCAAAGCACGTTCTTACAGAAACAGTGGGTGGACAATTGTCCCTGCCTCTGGCACCCATCTAGACTGGAGAGAAAAAGGTTGTTGCATAGGAAATGGGTATGGAAACCCCTGTCTACTCCCTTACATACACCGATTATTGTCATTAATCACATCATATTTGTCACAAGATCATTGATGGTTACCATAATATTCATAAATCTGATTGAGTTATACTTTATGTGCTTTCACAGGTAAAAGAACATGCCTTTTACCAACACAATGATAGCCAATAAGACAACGGTGTTAAGCTGGACAACAACCACCTGCAACTCGAAGTCCACTGAACAGTGAGCAAAATCTGCCATTTCATTTTAAAGAGTCAGGACTTTCATGGTGAACTAACTTGCAAGTCTTGTAAATAAAACTGTCATAACACAACTAATAATGCAATATGGTGATTGACCACAACTACTAACAATATTTGAGACTGAAAAATTAATATAAAGCTTGAAATCTCAGTTAAAGTAAGTTGTGTTGCAGAAAGCACTAGAGTGAAATTCATCATGTATTCAGAAATACATGACTGATTAAACAGTCAGTAGGGAAATTTCAGGCTTTTTCAGCATCTGCCCAATTAAAATCTCTGTGGTCAAGAAAATTGGGCGGTGTGAAAACGGTTGTTCAATTCAGTATCATGCATTTTTAGCCAGCAATAAAAGCTAAACTTGCCACATTGAGTTTATGTATTTGGTAATTCAGACTAAATACCAGACCCCTGGATTTATTTGCAAGAAGCTTAATTAAAAGGCTGCAGGTGTTGTAGCTTTGTGACAAAGAATTTGCATGGAATGGTTCATGGCTTTGGTAATATGCACATGTATAAAAACTAAGTACTTGCAGGTTTCCTGTGATAATTATCCATGATGAGTTAAAAATTGTGATTTTTGGGACAAAGAAGTTGATGACAAGGCAGGATGATGGAAAGGTGTTTGTTTTGAATGATGGAACTTGGTGAAGAAATAATTACGGTTTTTCTTATCAACTGCATCCAGATATAAAATAGATAATTCCATAAATGAATCTGTTTATCTTGAAAAATATTGTTCCCACTTACAGCAAAACAGTTGTGTGATGTCACATTATATCAGCTATTGGAAAATGCAGTTTTAAGTGTCTAGAATTTCCAGTTGGTACTTTTTTGTGCCCTTGTTGACCATTTATTTTAAATGGGAGAGCACCATGCTGAGATCACTCAATTTAACTGTAGTTTACACCAGGGAACTTCATAGATTTTGCATTGCAATTCAGAGGCATTTTAAGATTGATTTTCCAGTATCATGAAATTTAATACCTCGAGTATGCTGTGTTCACAAACACGAAATTGAATTTTATTACCAGTGAATCTTTATGTCATTGTTACTGAATTGAATTATATTCTCAGCATGGACGTGAGTTGATGCACAATGTTGAGGTACTAAATGTTAGTCAACTGTGGTCACTCACAGTTTAATTCTTCTTAGATCAAGGAATTTTAAAAATTGAAAAGTGTTTGTCAGCATTAATTCCAAGTCATTGAAATCTTATAACTGGCTTTTTTCTCTTTCTTGCTTTCTTTGTTGTTATTTTAATGTTGTTTTACATCTTTCGAGATGTAACATCTATAATGAAATATTTAATGTCCTATTTTCATAGATAAAATATAAATGGGGAAAATACGAGAAGTTATATGGTCACTATACTCTATAGTGTGTTAAGCAGCATTGGTAGATCCATTGTGATGTGGCTTGACATGGAGCCCATTTTCTAACGTTTACTGCAAGCATATTCTGAGATCCTTTACAGATTCTTAACTTGTTTCCTGATAGCCTGATAGGATCGCTAGAATTTGCAGCTTAACACATGCCCCTTTTTCCACTTTCTAGCCAAGAGGTGGTTTATATACATATTTGTCTTTTTCTCTTTTAGCCAAATTACAGCAATTTTCCAATGTCTATCAATTATTTCACATGCCATAATGTTCTGAGAATAACAATTCATTTTAGTTTGTTCTACGCCTGCCCTTGATTGATTCCTCTCTCAATTTTCAGGTTATTAATCAGGTTAGAGAGATGAACCCATCACCCAGATATCCTCACCATATTGTGGAAAAATTGTAGGCATTTGCTGAGGCAGGAAGAGGCAATTATCCTTGTGGTTGATCATCGTAAAAGGTTTGCTGATGGATGATTTTTGTGACTGAATTAATCAAAAATTGTGATACTGATAGGATTCTAGGAAAGAAGCAGCTGAAGAGGGTGACTGTAAGTGGATTTAAAATTTGGAATCTCTTCGGTTGCAACTGTGATGTGATTGATTGAAGGAACAGTGATCCATTTCTGGGATTGGATTATCAAAATGTCACTGGAAGCCTGCAATTCTGCACCAAAAGTATGTTGTTCTACAGCTTGATATGTGATAGAACTGAAACTATTGACATACAGTAGGCATGTTCTACCTCTGTGAGTTCAGCGCCAGTGTGTTCCTCTAAGAATGAAGGGCAAAGGCAGAAAGTCCATGAACCTGGATATCAAGAGATATTGAGAGTTTGATGAAGAAGAAGAAGGAAGCATATGTTAAGTACAGAGCATTAAAAACAGAGGAGGCCCTCCAGGACTGTAGAGATTGTAGGAAGTGCTTAAAAAAGAAGTTAAGAGGGCAAAGGGGAGGGCATAAAATATTTTTGGCAGCTTGGATTAAGGAAAACCCCATGGCATTTTGTACATATATTAAGAGTAAGCAGATTACCAGGGAAAGACCGGGATCTCTTAGAGACCAAAGAGGCAGTATATAGATGCAAAGGAAACAGAGATTGGCTGATGTAAAATTTGAAAATTTAGAACCTTACATATCTTCGACAAGCAATCTGCCACCTGTCTAAATCCAGCGTGGCCACATTGTGTTTACTAATCTTCAATCCCACTGTAAAAAGTTGTATTGGGAGTTTTCTGTCAAACCTGTTTCTCACGTCGATGTTTATCACTGAACTACTTAAATACATGAATTTTTTGCTTAAAGGGATAGGTACATTTACATTTGAACAGCATTTATACTTTTCCAGATCAGTGGATGTTTGATGATTGGAGATTGAAATTTCTATTTTATTTTTGTACAGTCTGCAGAAATTGACATTGAAACATGATTTCCTGCATAAACACTGGGACTACTAGAGCAGTCGTCTATAAACTACAGTAGATCTCACTAGCACATTTGGCTTTGTTTTTGTTATCACCTGCTGTCCTTTTTTGTATTTTATCATCATTTTTCTATCCATCTCAATCATTTGCATTTCTGTTGAGAACGTGGCGTTAATGGTGGTATATTTTGGCAGTATATTACTAAGAGCATTTCTGTTAATAATGTTCCAGCCTGGGGCTGTCCAAGTTTTCTTACAGATGTTGTTGGCACCTCTGAGAAATTCAGCAATGTACTATTTAGTCAAAATGTTTAGCTTAAGTAGAGATGATCTCTGATCAATCAGTGACCTTTTGGGACATAACCCAGAATATAGCTGTGGTTTGGAATGCAGAGTTAGGGAAATGTACAGCAGGAAACTGAGAAACAGCTGTATTTTCATTCAGTCCTACTCAGTGCATTGCTGTTGTTTTGCTTTTTTTTAAAGAAAAGTTTGTCATCTCATTTTTCTTTTTTTTTGCCCAGGCTGCCATGTTTGAATTGCAGTGTTACAGGCGATCTGTGATATTCATCCCAACTTTCCACCCCATCCCCAAGGGCTAACTTTCTGGTCCCTACAATGTCTGTTTCAGTGCATTTCTCCAAACGTAGCAATCTGCTGCAGCCTTTGCTCGACTTGGACTGCAGTCAAACTTCTTTGAAGTAACAGGAGAAAGTGAATGTGGTGCCTTATGTCAGAGAGCATTGCAATGGAATAGGCTTTTTAAAAAACTTACAGATCATTAAAATCGTAGGCCTGATGAACATTTTATTGCTTTTTTAGATCTAGACTGAAGCCAAGTTGGAGTATTCCCTTTAAAGAGGAAAAATGATCATGATATAGTTCAGATTCTGGTAGCAGATTGTCTTTTTTTTTCATGTTTTGGTATTTGCTGAGCCAAATCTAGGCACCTTTGCAGTGAAGTGGGTGTGACATACATAGAGGAATGTGGTGAGGGGAGAACTGATTGACTCAACAAACTAGACCCAGGATTGAAACCAAAGATCTTTCTAGGGATCAGGAAAATGAGAAAAGCCGAATGAAGAACTTTGCACTATTATCTTCCAAAATAAAATGCCAAAGAACTACTCTGAAATTCGTCTGACAATCAAACTATGGCAGGTGAATAGAGAGAAAAATCTAGAAAAATCCATTGTGTACCGAATGGATGTGCAGGCACCCCACACCTTGCATCTTGTGGAGGAGCAGGGAGCAACTATTTGTGTCTCTGATGCCAGTTAAAGTCTCTCAATCCTATTATTGGGTGCCAAAAATGGGAGAAAAGTACAAAGTGGAATGGTTTCATGAGTCATAGATCAGGCACCAAGGTTCTCTGTCACTTTTGGAGCTTCGTTTCCAGGTTGTGGGCAAGAGGAGGGAAATCCCTTGGTAAGCCCTGTCCCAGTAGCAGGAGAGATCCAGAGATGGTGGTGTTGTGGTTTTTATCAGGAGGGAGTTGCTCTGGAAATCCAGAACTTTGACTCCAGGCCCATGAGGTCTTGTGACATTCAGCCATATGTTAACAAGGTGAGCACTTGATCATCACTGGGTTGTATGCTAGGAGCAGCACTTGGGGACCTAAGAATGAGGAACCAACTTCAAACCAGTGGGAGCATGCTATAGATGAAGCTAAGCGATGCCACAACCAACGGATCAAAGCCCTGCAATCCTGTTGTATCCAGTCATTAATAATGGCAGAAAACCAATGAATGAGATAAGGAGGGCCCATGAAAATCCCAATGATGGCAAAGCCCAACACATCAATGCAAGAGACAAGGCTGAAACATATGCAAGCAAACCCAGCTAGAAGTGTTGAGCGGATGATCCATCATAGCCTCCTCCTGAGGTCCATGTTGTCACATGTCAATTTTCAGCCAATTTGATTTAGCTCATATAATACAAAGAAGCAGCCGGATACAAATAACGCAGCAAAGGTTATGGTCCAACAACATCTCAGGATGTGATGCTAAAAACCTGTTCTCCAGAATTAGCAACACCTTAATTAAAACATTTCATGCGGCTCCAGCACTTCCACCTATCCAATCAATTTGGAAATCAGCCCATTCATGATCTGACCTCATAAAACATGACAAATCCAATCCAGTCAAATACTGTTCCAATAGTTTACTCTCAGTT